TTACCAAATTTTTAAAATTACATTCACCAGAGATGTAAAAATGCTTGCTGTGATAATCGCATCTCGGGAGGAATACATAGTTTACCGTCTGACATATTTCTTTAAAAAATTAATATAAATTAGTGAAGATTTGAAATTGCAAACCTCATTACAAAGCAACTTTTCAAACGCCGAAAAATAATGGCAGCAGACTTTAAAGTTTAGTTAGGTAATGTTATGAGTTATGACTTATGACCTTATGAGTGACGTTAATTATATTACATTATTTTTAATAAACTGCAAATTTTTCAAACGTATGCTTTGTAGTCGTGCTACTAGTGAAAACGATAGTATATACGCCACTGTAGTAAAGATTATTATGACCTTTATATTATACTATAAATAATCTGAGTTCGGTCTAAAGTGATTGTCTTCACTACCTTTGTTTGCGCGTAAATGAAATTCACGTTTTATTCATTACACACAAAATATAACGTTGCTGCTTTCTCGGGTATGTAGGTCTTCTCCTTTCGGTTACTTCTCGACGACTTGTATGACAACTCTGCTTCGCTTTCAAAATCCAAAAAACTACGCAAAAAAGGAGAGAGAGGGGAGGTCACAGATGAGCCGTACCGGCCAGGTTCAGCTATACTGAACAACCTTGGCGTATAATATATCGGATTTCTAAATCTAAACCTGGTCAGTGTGGTATGTAACCAGTTTTTTTCCATATGTGGTATACGAAATAAATTTTGAAAGCTGTCATCCGCTTGTCACATAGAGTATTGTGAATTAATAACTTTTTCCTAACGGCGTGCGGAAAGTGATACTTTTCCGCACTAGTGCGGGAAGTAAAATGTAAGTACATTTCAAAGATTTATTGATAAATGAATACAACTATTTATATTAAATGTAAAAGAACAATTTATGTAGTTATTTTTCTCTTTGCTTCCATTTCGATCTGTCTTCAGTGGTTTTCATCTCAAACACCTTGCTAACATTTGCTGCCTCCTCTTCTGGGTTATTCAGATCCAACTTCAGCTTTTTTTATCGGTGACAGTACAACTGTTAGGCCAATACAACTACTTCTGGAACTTTCTTTACTTGCTTTTCATTGCACCATGCCCAAAATTCCTTATAAGCCTTCTCATATCGGTCCTTACATTTTGTCGGTATTAGGCCTTGAATCGCATTCTCTGCTTCAGCAACTATATCCGAAGGAATAGAATCGCTAGAGGAATCTTTCTTTTCCATCTTCAACTGAACACACAGAACACAACATGATTAGGTATTATTGACAAATATTTTGCGAAAAACTTGTTTGTGTTTAAACAATTGCATTCGCAATACCTTGACTACTCAAAGATATGATTTTCGAATGTGCTGCGATTTAAAATTTGACGAAAAACTTAATTGCTGAAAGATTTAAAAGACGCCGTTAGGAAAAACATTGTTCCCAACGCGCGCGGGAAGTGCGATTCCGAAATTCCGTTTCGGAATCGACACTTGTTAGGAAAATAACTATTAAACTGTATTTGACATGGAAAGGACAACTGTTTCGAACACGACTGCGACATAAGGAAAAAGAATACAATTGGACGCAGCCCGCTTGACAAGATTTTTATTTAGACACCCGATACACAATAATTATTAGAGATAGAAAAAAAATCAAAGACCAAAGTTCTACGGTTCTTTGAGGACTATACTCTAAAATTATTTTTAACTATACAAAGTGTTTTGAGGCGTGTTCTTTAAGGCGTAACACACAACTTAGTTTTTTTTAATGAAACACGCTATATATTTTTAGATATTTTGATTGACTCTAGGCTTTATGACTATAGTTTATTTTTGAAATTCTGATGTGACATTGCAACGTTATTCCATTTTTCTTAATTTTTTAGCAATGGAAGGGTTCACAAAACAAATCGCAGTATGCTTATTCTCACAATCTGTGTTATAATATTTTGTGCTTTCTTGTAGTATGAATTCATGTATATGTTACGGTTAAAGTGAATACTCGGCTAGTTTCCAAACTAACTGGTTGTTATGCAAACTAACCAAGTCACTAGTTATTATAGACGAAAAACTATTTTCTCTTACATTAGCAGGGTTTCTTGGTTAATTTTTAAACTGCCCAGCTAGTTTATAAACTACCGTACAAGTTTGGATAATTTAAATACTTTTTTTAAAGTACATAAATTAACCGAAATAATTGGTTAGTTTACAAACCAGCCACTTTGTTCTGGTTAAAATAAGAACTTTTTCTCTAGTACGATAAAATAACCAATGAATTGTATCATTGCCTGCATTGAACACTAAAACAACTGTCTGTTTGCATACTAACTGCCTAACATATGATACAATTCGTTAGTTATTTTATCGTACTAGAGAAAAAGTTCTTATTTTAACCAGAACAAAGTGGCTGGTTTGTAAACTAACCAATTATTTCGGTTAATTTATGTACTTTAAAAAAAGTATGTAAATTATCCAAACTTGTACGGTAGTTTATAAACTAGCTGGGCAGTTTACAAATTAACCAAGAAACCCTGCTAATGTAAGAGAAAATAGTTTTTCGTCTATAATAACTAGCGACTTGGTTAGTTTGCATAACAACCAGATAGTTTGGAAACTAGCCGAGTATTCACTTTAACCGTAACATATACATCTAATACTATATCGTTAACTGGGCTCAAAAGAGTCCGAAAACTCAACGCAATATATCGGACCTCTGTTTATCTGTGGTAGTAAACTGTGTTGCGCATGTACTAGTACTAGATTAATCTGTTATCAATAGCGTGGTTGGATAGGTTTTGACATTTCGTATTTTCGCATCTACATTTTGGGTACCTGCGCACAGACGCTTGGTACTCATATAGACAGAAAACATTTTCTACCTCTCTTTGGCCGTGAACACCGTTTCTTTGTTATTTCTAAACAGTTAGCAATATAGTAGTATTCAGTATTAAATACATGTACCAATTAAATCAAATTTTAATATGCAGTGTTTGTAAAAAATTCTAAAATTTTACAATTTTCAAATATAGATATTTCAGTTTCTCAAATAGAACACCTTGTATTTTATTACTGTATTTTAGTCCATTTTTGCTCTCACTCTTCGAATATGTCGACGTGTCTCTTAAAAAAGTAAAAAATCGCCGTTTTACATACAGAAAATACTAACGAGAAAGAAAGAGAATAAAAAATAGAATAAAATGTATAATAAAATATGTATAGATTCGTATATATGAAATATCCAGTGGCGGCTCGTCAGGGGAGGCAGGGGAGGCAGTGCCTCCCCTGGAAAAATTGACTATTAGTTTTTGTTTTAATATCTGTCACCTTCAAATATATTTTAAAGATATAGCAAATAACTTTTATAGAAACTGTGATTTATTAAATCGCGTCTTGATAACATATTTTGAAGTACGCGCTTTCGACAGGAATAAGCGCCGATCATCACCGTGTAGGCCAGCTTCAGACGGAGGCATGCCTCAGATAGACGTATATCTTCAGCATGATTAGTCAGTGGTGCTAATATGTTTTTGAAAAAGACAATAGTCAGCAGTGCTTTACCAAAGCGCCAGCGGAGGCACCAACGCCTACCGTCCTTAAACCAATCAGATCGAATTTTTTAATCTCACAGTGCACAATGCTGAACAGGGATGCTGAATGCATTTAGTGTGCATTTAGTTGAGCAATAAATTAGACGCGAGAAAAGGTGTTCACCGCATGTGCATTGCCAAGGTTATGTATTAAAACTTTTAAGCTAACTTGAAAACATTAGGACAATGAAAATGTCAGGTTTGCAATGCTGATAGGAACATAACAATCTCTAATTCTCTAACGACATTGTAGAATTTCTTATAAAGTTTAAATATTTAAGCACGGTTTTCTTACGACGAACAATTGTATGTCCAAGATTTAGCAACCTCTCATCCCAGATTTGAGCAGAACTTTATTAATTAATTGATTAATATATTTAAATCAGCCCTAAATCATATGAATTAATATTTAATGTTAATAAAGCAACTTTTGTAGTCTTTACACCTTCTCATTGATTTGTGTGAAGCAATTAAATGTTTTTTATTCGAGAAATGTACCTATTCCTATAGAGATATGTTACTGACTCAGAGTTATTTGTATTGTTTTCATAAGAAGGGGTAAATAATCTGTCTTTTAACAAAAGTAATTGCGAACATGTTAATTAATACCTGCTGATTTTGAAACGAAAAAGTTGCCTCCCCTAACCAAAAGACCACGAGCCGCTACTGGAAATATCGATATTTGAAAATTGTATTTTTTTGATGAACACTTTGTGCAAGAAAATGTAATTTCATTTAAACCAAAACAAAGTGAGTACATTTATTTATCTCAGCAAACAGATTTTAAAAATAACCCTACTGCGTTTTTGTTGTGAACCCCTTACATTGGTAACAAAATTCAAGAAAATTGGAATAACTTGACAAGGTCGCACAGAATTTCAAAAATAAACTGTAGTTGTAAAACCTAAGAAGAGTTCAATCGAAATATCTAAAAATATATATATAGGGTGTTTCATTTAAAAAAACTAAGTTGTGTGCTACGACTTAGAAACAGAACACTCTGTTGTCTAAAAATAATTTTAGAGTATGGTCCTGAATGAACCGTAACCTTTGGTCTGTAATATTTTTCTGTTTCTAATAATAAATAAGATGTCGAGGAACGCGCAATTAGTCACTGACCCTGTATATTTTATTTATCGGCATAAATTTCTGTCGTTAGTCCGAGTACGTGGTAACATGTGTTTAATATTTTCAGGATAATCCTTCAATCCTGAATTTGTTTACAAAATCCCTACAACTGTTACAGAAATAAAAATTTCAGCATTTACCTTAGGTACCTCATTTTTTTTTAAATCCTAGAAGCTTCACTATTTCTATCAAATTTTCCTTAAATTACAGCACGACATCATTCTCATCGTTGACTTGAAATATATTTTTTGTAACACATTTATTTGTTAAAAAATACATTCTAACTCACAGGTTGACTTAAAACACATGGAGCAGGTCTCTGGAAGTAACATCGTAAAAGTTGGCATCGACTTATCCGAATTTTATCTGTCCGTGGAGTGGGATATTCTCGCGGTGCCCGCTCGACGAAACGAAGAATATTACCCGTGCTGCAGCGAACCTTATTCCGGTAAGACTTTTTCCAGACATCCAAACTTCTCACATTTCTCCCTGAAAACCGATCCTTTAATATAAATTTTAATTTCCAGATATTACCTTCAAGATAACAATGCGCCGAAAGACGTTATTCTATACAGTAAATCTAATCATCCCTTGCGTCGGAATTACATTCCTTACCGTCCTCGTCTTCTACCTCCCTTCGGATTCCGGTGAAAAAGTCACCCTTTGTGTGTCAATTCTCCTGTCTCTGACAGTATTTTTTCTCCTGTTGGCCGAAATTATACCTCCCACCTCTCTTGCCGTACCACTGCTCGGCAAATACCTTCTTTTTACAATGATCTTGGTCACATCTTCCATATGGGTCACGGTGTGCGTGCTCAACGTTCATTTCAGGTAAGATGGACGCCCACTTCTCAAATTACTGCATTATTTCTATTGTTAACTGCACGCGTCGTTACGATGGATTTTTCACTACAGAAAATGAGAATTTAATTGCAGGGTGTGTTTTTTCTACAGACAATCAGTCAAATTTCACGCTGGTGTTGAATCTATAGCCGCACGATTTTACGCTTATTAATCACTAAGGGAGTAATCATTATGGCTTTATTACCAGCATTATAAATCTAAAATCGTTGGTGGTGCAGGTGAAGCGATAAAAATATTATAGGCGTATCTATTTCCGGCACGCAAAATAAACTTTTTCATTTTGATTTATGTGTCCTAAAACACAAAAATAAGCATGGTCAGATAAAAGCTCAAGTTTGACAAAAAGACAACCTGTGTTTCGTCAAGTTGACAACTTAATGGGCGGGACAATAGTTGCACAACGCCCTGCTGCGTAATCCGCTTAGATAAATACTCGGAACCCAGTTTGGAATCGAGTTCTCGCGGTCACTTTTGGACCCTGAGTACCTAACCATTGATTAAATACATATAGATAGACCCATGCTATTGTTTGGAGCGAACAGGCCAACGGCCGGCGAACAAGAGATGGCGCACCAACAGTCGGCCGTCAAACGCCGGCGAAAAGCTTGGACACCAATCGCGCGTAGATAACCCAAATCACAGCAACAATACATTTAATAAAGCTACCACTCGACAGAGGGCGACGAAAAAAATGTGTAAAAATCTCATAGTAAACATTTATATAATTTACAACGTTGCCAGATGAGCCTAACACAACTTTGCCGTTATTTCTAGTCGATTAGATTTTATTTCGTTTAAAAGTTTCTGGTGAATAAATGGAATTATTATAATGAATAAACAATACAAACAAATTACTTGTTATTTTAAATACTTGTTAGTGTTGATGAAAACATAAATGGTAATTAAAGTTATTCTAAATACGGTCCGGTCCGGTAGCTCAAATTTTACAGTACGAGTGGTATGTTTCAGGACGAGTAGGTAGCCGAGTCTTTAATTTCGAAACGAGTACTGCGAAAAGAGTTACCGGACGTATGTTGTTATGTATTTTATTTCATACTGTCAACATACTTTTTTATTCGATAAAATTATTATTATTTTGAGAAAAAATCCAAATCGAGTCACTTTTTCTGACATCGTTAGCAACCGCTCTTTGGTAAATGTTTTAATTTGTTTATTCGTGCAAATCAGCATCATATGTTTAAACACATAGTACTTATAACACTTTACAGGACTTATTGTTTTGTATAATCCGACTCGATGGACGAATGTTTTGTGCAATCCGTCTCGAAGGACCAATGTTTGTGCAACTCGGCTCGTCCTACCAGTATTTTTTGTAATCTGGTTGATACGACAATGTGAAACCGAATTGTACTTTGATATTGCTCCAAGGACCTTTGTTTTCTTGCGTGCCAGATAATAGACAGCGTTCGGTTTCGATGTTTAATACAGGACGGTTACAGAAGTATACTATCCTCAAACATATTTGGCGTTTATGACTTCACACCAATTTGACTCCCATTATAATTCAATAGGCCGTCACAACCGGATATCTTAAACCCGCTCACCGATACCTACCTGAAAAGACCTTTTTTCACTAGCAGCCTGGACGCATGCAAATGTCAACTCATTTAGTGGTAGCAAATTCAACTTTTGCTACCACGGGTTCAAAAAGAAAAATTGATGTTATGTACGCAATGTTTGAAGTGATTATTTCTTAAAAAATGAACAAATGTGTGCTACAAACATTACTTGAGTATACGCATGGTAGTTGGTAGACGGTAGAAGATAAAATGATTAACTCAGCGACAAGTATAAACGATTTTCTTTGTGTTGAAGATTTAGATCAAGTTTGATTAGAAATCAAAACAAAATCACGTTGCGTCAAAAAATGTAACGTTTATTTTTCAGTTTATTGTCTTATGGTTTCTACTAGTGAAAAAAATAGTATATTAACCACGGTTGCAAAGCCACTTCTAGACCTCGCACTTAGAGCCCTCGACGCTGCGCGTCTCGGGTTCTAATTTGCGCTCGGTCTAGAATGCTTGGCTCTGCAACCTTGGCTAATAATATACTATTTCGACGTGCCAGGGACGGTCGAGACGCGAAGGACCGGACTCAGAGTAATTTTGTTTGTTAAAATTTTCAAATTTCAAAATTTCCTTACAGAACATGATTTATACTTTGAAGAAAATTACACAAAGACACAATTATTAGAAGTGTTACACACTCGAAAAATTGAGAAACAATATAAAATAGATGCTATGGCGCGAGATCGTGGATTTAGGGTGATTAGACTTCCGCCGTACCATTGTATATTTAACCCCATCGAACTAATCTGGTCGCAAATGAAAAATAATATAAGAAGGAATAATACGGCACCAAAATTTAGTAGTGCAACAATTGACATACCTTAATTAGGGAAGAAGCTTCCAAAATAACTGCCGAAATGTGGGCCAATTGTGTACGACATTCCACAAAAGAAGAAGACCAGTACAGGGCACGGTTGATAACACCGTTAATTATTAATTTAGAAGAGTCGAGTGATGATGACAGTGACTATTTCGATCAATAAATAAGCAGTAGTAGTTAATAAGTAAATACTTGTGCTGTAATAAAAAATGATTGAGTACAAAGTTACTTTGTTTTTACTTAAAATAAAAAACTCGAAAGGCGCAGTTGTCGGTAAATGCAAAACTCAGTCCTGCCCTGTGCTTTTACCAGAAAAGGTCTTTTCAGGTAGGTATCGGTGAGCGGGTTTAAGACATCCGGTTGTGACGGCCTATTGAATTATAATGGGAGGCAAATTGGTGTGAAGTCATAAACGCCAAATATGTTTGAGGATAGTATACTAAATTTACATTTGTATTTACAATAACAGGTAAAGCAAAAGAGACCCAAAAGGGTCAGTGGCCGCTTCCGGAAATGGAACACTTGTCCTTTTTGGCTCAATTTTATCGGACTTGTCCGTTTTTTTGATTTTACCGGACTCGTTCGAATCCAGTAAAACGTCAAACTTGACATAGTATGAAGTAAAATAAATAAATTTTATGATGTAAATACAATTTTTCCAATTTCCACTAATAAAATCCTCATTTTGTATGTTTAATCTCGCTATTAAAACAATAGTTTAATCGAAAGGATGAATAAAATGTTTTTTCACTAGCAGCCATGACGCATGCAAATGTCGACTCATTTAGAGGGAGCAAATTCAACTTTTGCGACCACCGGTTCAAAAAGAAAAATTGAGGTTATGTACGCAATGTTTGATGTGATTATTTCTTAAAAAATGAACAAATGTGTGCTACAAACATTACTTGAGTATACGCATGGTAGTTGGTAGACGGTAGAAGATAAAATGATTAACTCAGCGACAAGTATAAACGGTTTTCTTTGTGTTGAAGATTTAGATTAAGTTTGATTAGAAATCAAAACAAAATCATGTTGCGTCAAAAAATTGAACGTTTATTTTTTCAGTTTATTGTCTTATGGTTTCTGCTAGTGAAAAAAATAGTATATTAACCACGGTTGCAAAGCCACTTCTAGACCTCGCGCTTCAGAGCCCTTGACGCTGCGCGTCTCGGGTTCTAATTTGCGCTCGGTCTAGAATGTTTGGCTCTGCAACCTTGGCCAATAATATACTATTATAGTGCAACACTTTATTCACACTGTTATTGACAACACTAATAAAGTAAAAAAACTAAAAATTCGCACTACCACTGAAATTTTCGTTGCTATGGATGTGTGGATATTTAACTAAAATTTGCAATGTTTGATAGTCCACCTCCTGTAAAACAATCCTAATGAAAGTCTAGGAGCATCGTTTGAATTTGACCATGACGAAAGTACAGGCAGTTTAAGCAATTTACCTTCTCCAATGTTCATGATATTGGTAATATAATTAATATTTTTATGTATATGGATTACCTCAACAATACATTTTTTGAACAATTTTGCGAAATTGGAAAAAATCTTGTATGATACACGTGAATAAACGAATTTTATCCACTCAAAAACATTATCACACTCAGCTTCGCCTCGTGTGCTAAACTGTTTTTTCGGTGGATAAAATTCACTTTTATTCACTTATGCCATAAATAGCTATAAGTATATCGATAATTCGCTACTGAAAATTTATTGAAATATAATTTGTGTTAAAAAAAGATTTTTGTGATTTTATGGTTTATTAACATAATTTACTTATTTGAAATTAAATATTTTTAATACATAGCACAAGTTCTTGATATTCTTTATTTTTATTCCAAGTAATAATTGTGTTTCCTTTAGTTTTAATCAAGAAAATTTTTCGGTTATTATCTAACATACTTTTGTACATTAAGAAACTCCATTCCACGTCGCAGGACGTTACAGGACAATATTTAAATAAATAAAGAAGTCGTTTTATGTGTTTTAAAATTCACTCTGATTTCCGGACTTTAGACTTTTTGGTGTTTCACTTCGGCAAAAGAACTAGTCGTATCTCAAAGAGAACAAACAGTGGAATATAGCGTATTGTATAGTAGCCCAAAAGCTATAAGGTTATATGACCATCATAAAAGTAGTTGACCGCAAATAAATACCCCCTTTGTGTGGTTCGCACTAAGCTTACGGGTTGGCAATAAATCGTCTTCTAAACATTTCTTGCTCACATTTAACAGGGCCGGCTTTCAAAGCGACTGGTTATTTTGGAACCCTTTGTGGCTGCAGGTAGTAGTAGTAGGTATTTAGATATTTAGTGAAAGCCACCCCTGAACGAACCAACAGCAGCCGGTCGAGCTGGAGTGGACACGTTATTTACGACCTTAAAACCTTTTCTATTGTAAACAACTCAACTTCGATACAATGGGATAATTTTATGATGGTCGTATAACCTTATAGCTTTTGGAGTACTTTACCTATATTTCATAGTAAAAATGTCTAAATTTTTTTATGAAGAGACAGACTGTTCTAGGAAACTTTACTAAATCTTT